ATGTAGATGAATTAACAACAATGCTTGAATCATTACCATCCTATGAAAATTCAAAAGAAACTCAAGAAGAATCAGCAATTTTTGAAGATGATAATGAACCATCAACTGGTTTAATTAATTTAATACGAAAAACTTCGATGCATTCATCTCAAATTATTACAACAAATGATATTTCAAATACCGTAAGAATCATTCTAAAATAAACATTTTTGTTAGAAATAAATTGTTAGTTTTTCTCAGTGATATCTAGATAGTAGCTGATGATTCAACAAGTTATTATTCTGCTGATGATGATACAACGACAAGTGGAACAAATTCAACTCCAATTGTGATTAGTACTAATACTGAAGAAGAGATTATTGAAGATAATGATGAAGAAATCAACATGAATTTATTAAAAAGTAAAATGAAACATTTGTTTGTTCTTAGTGAAAATGGAAAACCAGTTTTTACAAGGTAAATATTGAGAATAGACGTATTTATAATAGTTTATAACTTAATAAATTTAGGTATGGTGATGAAGAACATTTAATAACTTTAGTGGGTGTAATACAAACACTTGTTTCATTTTCTGAATTAACTGATTCAAATCAATTAAATTATATTAAAGCTGGTCGTTGTCGTATTACATTTTTACATAAAGAACCTTTAATATTTGTTTTAATTTGTCATACAAATGAACATCCAATATGTTTAGCTCAACAATTAACATATACATATCATCAAATAATAAGTACATTAACATTAAGTCGTATAAAACATAAATTTACAATTCAACCAAATTTTGATTTACGTCGATGGTTATCAAATGCAGAAAAAAAACTTCTACATAATATTATTGATATGTATGAACATGATTTAGGAATGGTGATGACTTGTGCAAAATGTTTAACATTACCATCACATATTCGAAGTCAAATTGGACAAACAGTTGCACAAATCATCAAAGGTCAAAAGGTGAAAGATTTTTTCATTCGAAAATTTAATTATAATAATAAAACATTTTTTTTTCTTTAGGATATGATATTTGCAATAATTCTTACTCATGGTCATCTTGTATCAATAGCACGTTTAAAAAATTATCATTTACATCCATCTGATCTTTATTTACTTATTAATCTTGTTAATAGTTCCGATGCATTTAAAGGTGTAGAATCATGGGTACCGGTGTGTTTACCAAGATTTGATCCAAGGTATGAATATATAAAAGAATCATTTGTAAAAAGAATTATTTTAATATTCTTTCTAGTGGTTGTCTTCATGCACATATATCCTATTTAGATGATAGTTGTGATATATGTCTTGTATTAATGACAGTTAATCCGGAACATTTTCAAATACTTTCAGACTTTAGACAACGTATTGGAGATGTAATATTATATTTATTTATTTTCTTGTTCAAATCTTTAATTGATTTCAATTATTTTAGAAATTAAAAAAAAGCAATGCTCTAGTACAAATAAAAATAGCATTAGGAAAAGATCGTCTTCTATCTGATGAAATTGCTTGTAATGAATTACGATATTTTGCCTATAAATCACGTGGTTTAAGTCAATATACTTCATCAAAATTATTAGCTCCTTATACAACAAACGAGCAACATGTTAGATTATTTGAATTAATACGTTATGTATATGGACGTTTACATGATCCAAATCATCAATTAAAAATTGTTTATTTTATTGGAGAACATGAATCTTTACTTGGATGGGTAAGTTACGAGAAGAAAAAATTCATTCTCCTTCGTTTACAACACTGGATGTTTTTTTCTTGTTTTTAGTTAGCACCAGGTTTTGAAATGCATGCAGTATTCTCACCAATGGTTACATTAGAAACAGTGACATTATGTATTGATCGTATATTAACATATATTAAACGTGAAGAAAGTCAACTATTTATAATGAAATGTGAATATTTCTGATGAAAGTGACCATTTCTCGTATAGGGTCAGATGGTTTCTTTGTTTATTGGCATATTTTGTTCTCTATCCCTTTATTTTTATTTATTTATTCTCTTTCAATACATAAAATATGTTTAGTTATTTATTTATTTTTTTTTGAGCTCACAAATATATAAATATATACTTTAAAGTTTTAGATGGTTAATCTTGCTGCTATACAAAAGAAAACAGTTCCATCAAAGCAATCATCTAGTAGTGATGATTCCAGCGATGATGAACCAGTTAAAAAGCAAAGTAAAACTTTTTCTTTTTCATATTTTCATTTACATAATTAAAATATTCAATTCTAGTCTTGGGTCAATCTCAAAAAACTGCAGTAACATCTGCATCAAAGGTTCTTCCAGTTACAAATGGAAATAAGAAGAAAAAAGATTCATCATCTTCATCGGATTCATCTGATGAAGATACAAAGAAACCAGCGGTTAAA